AACTTGACTTATTTACTAAAGGAATATGAAAGTGAAGCTCAAGCTTGATCTAAAAGTTAAAGCTTTGTTTCAATACATGTAAAAATTGTTGAGCTAGAGCTTAGCTCATTTAGCTCAACAAAATAGAATAACTACAGAAACGGTACAGCATAGCAATATATGTAAGCAAATTACAGTCAAGCATTAATATGAAGTAACAATGTATAAGAAAATTTCAAATCTCAATATAACTGAAAGACATTCCAGCATGGAGAATAAATATTTTGAACTGGCCAAAAAATCAGATATTTGATTGCATTCTTAAATAGAAAAATTTTCTACATGTTAAATTGTTTAAGTGAACTTGATTCGGCAACGACTGATTTTTTAGTCAATATTATCACTTCAACATAACTTAAACCATTTAAACAAAATTTTCAGATTTTAAGTCACATTTCTATCAAAAAATCAACTACTTACCTGATCGAATCAAGCCTCACAAAGTAGAAAACAAAAGAACAGTACACAGGAGATAATCCTTCCCCAAATTAAGCAAGGATCAAGAATTCAATGTATGTAATCAAGAAAAGTAGCCATTCCAACTCGGCTACTAAAATTGAAAATGCCGGACTCAAATAATTAAGATGATCATAATTTTCCTAACTACAAATTATGCAAGTCCGAAATGGTAGCAATGAAATTTGTTGACCAGCAATATATAATCTAAAACTAGATACAAAATACATTTGAGTTGTTAAGAACCAAACTCCAGGCTTTAACCACCAAAACACACATAAACTTAATAACTTATTTAAACTTGCTAGTACCAATTCTGTTTTGTCAAGTTTTTAATATGATAAGACATGTCTTAACTCTTCTCATGATTTAGTTTTTTTTTTTTTTTTGGGCCTCAACTCTGATTCAGCGTTGTTAATTCAAATCTCACTGAAGTTTTGGCACTAGCTGCAACACTCTGAATTTTTGCAGTTTACTTCTTTTTAGTAAAATAAAGTGATCCATCAGTTGCTGTGTCATGGTCTCAATAAATTGTTAATTAATTGCTTGCACTTTTCCATCCAAGATTAAGTGTTTTTAGATTCTATTTTAGAGGATGTAATATTGTCTTTTCTCCAATGTGGTCATTAATGGATCTCATGGCTGTTATTTGTTTACCTGATCATTGGTACCATGTTTTCTCCAAATTGGCTGAGGGACTCTCTAACCTTATGACAGCAAGTTTGCTTGAAGAATTGGCCACTGGGGATTTCTTTGTACAAGGGTGAGATTAATGGAGGTTATATGAATGTATATGTAAGTTGGTATAAAAATTAGCCTTTTTGTTTTTCTGATGCTTTGGGTATGGTCTAATTGGATAACTGTCCTTTTGCTGTTGAAGGACCTGCTGGTTCCTCAATAGGGTACAATGCGGCTGTGCTGTGGAATCGGATCCTCTTAGAGTTTGGCAGAATGGAATTAGCCTTTGTTTCAATAAATATGATTGAAATAGAGGTTTGCTATCATTTTCACCTACTTTGATATTTCCATTTGTGCAATTCAAC